AAGAGAATATCAAAGTAAAATTACTTGGAGGATTTGTTGGAAATATAATTCTTCAAATGCGTGACAGCATCGGCATCATTGACAAATGACATGGCAATAAAATCAACGCCTTCAGAGATTCCAAATTCAATGTCGGCCCAATCCTGCATGATTTTGTAGTTTATTGATAAGATAGATAGAATACATGCCACCCAAGGATACACAACAGAAGTATATCAGCGGCATATTGATATTAACAAGCATATCATATGCGTATATGTTATATCGAACGGTCCTGAACGAGCAATCATGACATAATATTCACATCTTATAATTAAGAGACTGAAGCATAATGCGTGGAAAATGAGATTGATCGAGCTTAACCTTAGTGGACAGAGTTGGAAGTTCATATTTTTTCTCTACAAGCTTTCCATCTCTCCAGAAGCTCAGTTTGGCTCGTGGCAAGAGTAAGCCAGGGTCCGTGCACTTGCAACGCAGATCATTCCCAATTTTTTCTAAGACTTCAAAAGTTGCCATTCCTCCATCAAACACAATCTTGTCACCCACATTAATCCCTGAAAAAGTGAAGAAAAATAACTAAGAATCTAGGATTGGAGAAAAAACAAACTAATTGAGTTAGTAGTTCTCAAATACCAACATACCGTCAGAAAAACCTTCATAACTCGCTTGAACCGTAAAAGGGCGCGACCCCTCGAACTTTTCAGTTGTAAAGAACCAAATCGATCCATCCTGACAAATCAAACAAAACTCCAACACCATAAAAATCATAAATATTTCTCTTCAATTTCTGGGCTTGGCCTAAATGTAATCATAACCAAAAATAAAAAATTAAAAAAAATTCAGCAAAAACGAAAAATGATACCTCTGCTTTTACAGAGGAAGGAGCACCATGATCAACTACATGAATCTGGCTACCCTCAGTATCAATCATCACAGAAACACAATACCCCTTTTCCTCATTCAACTTCTTGATTTTCCCAATTACATCCCTATGCCATTCCCTGGTATTGTGACACATGTTAAGCCTGGCTACGTTCATGCCTCCAAGGGCCAGCTTTTCCAGCTCGGCCGACGAGCAGCAAGCGGGCCCCACGGTGCAGACGAGCTTCGTCTTCCTCAGCCCCAAGAATCCCTTTTTCCTCAGCTCCGCTTCAGAAACCACGTCGAATCCCAAAACCCCCTCCGAAATCTTGGGATCGGTTGAAATTTTTCTACTCTCAACATCCACTTGCATAACTGCCTGAATTTTGACCCCAAATTTGGGCTCTACAGGCCTCAAATTCCTCGGACTAAGAAAAAGCTTGTCTCTTTTAGAAATTGGGAGGCCGGAGAAAAAACTTTTGTTTAGGCCGATGGTGCCCGAGTTTTTCCTCATCACCCCGCCAAACTTGAGCCCTAAATCTCCCACCAGAGCCATGATTCTCAGTGTCAGATGGTAAAGGCCCCAAGATTTTTGCAGGAAGCAAGAAAAAAATAAAAGGGTTTTGGGGAAAAATAAATAAAATCCGCCGAGATTTTATTTTTATGTTTCAGCAAGATTTTCGGAGTCTACGAGAAGAAAAGAAAATCAGAGTGTGGGTGAATGTGTGCGCGTATATATGTGGGAAAGGTACATTCTTTTGCTACATTATGGGCAACTGGGTTTGAACTTTGAACCCTTTGAAAAGTGGGGACCGACGAGAAAGAGCGGCATAGTACACTCGCGCTGTCGAATTTAACGGTCAACTACCCTTGTGACGGCTGACGTGCGCCGTGGCGTCATTGTCACTGTCCGTAAAACCGTGATTTTCTTGTGTTTTTCTCTCTCCCCTTTAATTGCTTCTTTACTTTGGTTGGGGGCCGGCCGGGGAAAAGTGAAATTCAGCGAAAAGAAAAGGAATGTAACAAATCGTGGTAAAAATAAAATGAATGTAACAAACCGCGGTTCATATTTTACCATCAGTTTTCTAAACATCCTCTTATGGCTTGATTTGGTTGCTGTTATGGCTTTCATAGCTGATATGGCTGTTTGGACTTTGGCTTCTCTAATAGTGTCTTATTTTTGCTGTTTGATGGTTTTTTGTGGGGGGAAACATGGTATTTATCTAATTCCCCTTTAGTTTCCCTCAAGATGTGGGTGGAGACTATGTTATTTGTTGGTAAAACGTTCATGTAATTATGCTTCCTTGAGTTGTTACAGTAATTTGCCGTTTTTTGGAAAGAAAAAAAAAATATGATAGATGAGCCAAAGATTTGGAATTCCAAATTTAAAAAAGTTGTCATTCTCAATATCACAAAAACTAAGCGGTTGTCTTTGTCGTGAGATTTTTCCTATCTTTTGTAAGTATTTAAGAAGTGGTAGCTTCTTCAATTTGCTTTGATGTAATTATGGGCTATGCCTTTGAACATTGTATTATTTGGGAGCTATAAAATTTATCGTTTCAAAAAAAAAAAAAATATTACAAACATGATTACTTTCAAATAGTCAATGCTCCATCGTGATGTTTCTCTCTTCGTTAAATTTGATATTCACAAAAACAACTATTTTCTGTAAAAAAAATCATTTCTATAACTTGGGGAAAACATGACTAGTCAATATTTGGACTTGATAAATTCTTCTTTTCATCTCCATATTCTTTTTCCTTTTTCATTTTCTCAGTTTTATGTATATATATTGTATATGCTAGTTTTTGATTCATGTACTACAAAGAATACAAGTCAAAAAAAGGGAAAAAAAACACATTATGGAAAATTGCATATTGTAATAAGAAAGTAAACAATTTGCAAAACCAACTATATATAAAATAAGAACAAATCCACTAAAAAATAAATACTAGAATTTGGATTTGCCCTTAATATAAATCAGAAGCAAGAAAAAAGAGATTGGAGTGAGAGAATTGAAAAATGATGTGATAAATTATTTAGAAAAAAATTCAAGCATAGTAAATTTCCGTTATCAATAAAAACATAACTTAATTTTTATCCAAGCCAATGTACGAATCACCAATTTTCACCACTTAAGAATTCAAAGTATGCGAGCTTGCAACTTAGGGCCAACGCATAGTGTGATTTTTTTTTCTTATTAAAATTTAATAATATTTAGGTAGGAAATACCAAAACCACCCATATATATAATTACAGATTGCGTTAAGCTTAAGTGGCATGTTCTCACGCTTCGAGATTCTATGTGGCAAAAAATCATGCTTCGGAGTCATATATATAAATAATTAATCTTGGATTTCGTTTAATGTCTATTATGCATATTAAATCCATGATTGATTTTTTTCTTATTTTATTCTACAATTAGTTACTATAAAATATTTTACGTTTTTTTTTCCACATTACCATATATTATATTTTCTTTTCTTATTAAATTAATACATCAATTATTATAAATGTTTCTTTTTCTTATTTATAAAATCTTATAACTTTTTTATTTTTTTTTTCATATATGATATATAAAATTAATTATCTTTTAACGATCTTCTATTTAACATCCATATTATATATATAAAATACATATATCCTTATAAAGAATTTTTAAATTTATTTATCAAATTAAATTAAAGAATATCAAATTATAAAGTATCTTATAAAATAAT